CTATCACCGTTAGTGTGGACGCACAAAGTCGAATTACTGTCCTTAGTGTGGACACACACGTTCGACTTTGCAATATCGATTACAAAAATTCGATGCAAGTAAAATCGAACTACTCTCGTAGTGTAGACAAGGCCTCAGATACATGCACACAGAGGGCATAACATGACCGTGAATCAATACAATTTACAGTTTTGCAAAAATGATCTGAAAAGTCTATGGCGAAATCATGTCCCACTTTACACACGTGCACAGGGCATAAGGTACTCCCTTGCTCACTTGTGCCTTGTGGGTCACAACATCCCTCCGCTGTGCTGCAGCTCCCCCTCCATGGCAGACCTCTGATCCATTCAAGTACAAGCCAGCACAGCTGAGCCAGTGTGAAAGGGGAAGCAATATGTGACAGCAAAAGAGGTGGTGCAGTTACTCTGCATACTCAAAACAGGGGCAGGAGGAAGATATGGACCAGGGAATAAACGGTGACCAATTCACAATCTGGCCTCTATTCTGCTTCCAGGGAAGCAAAACTACTAAGCTGCATTCTGCCCTTTTATTCAAACCTTGTGGTAAATCCAGAATCTAGTCCATAATGAAGACACGATCCTCATATACTTATGAGGGAGAGGAAGAAATCACAAAAAACAAAAGAAGTGTGAAGTAACATCTGGGAGGACAGTAGAATCTGTCTTGAAATCGGAATCAGAGGGGAGAGTCATCCAACACCCAAAATTATTGAAAAATTACAACTAAGGACAAATAAAAGGATTTAATGCAAGACAAATATTACTCTTACATTTAAAAATACACCTTAAAAAGGCAAAAAGACCAAAAACATCAAGACACTTGATCAGGGCCTTGGATAGACCAAGAAACTACCTACACTTGACCAGAGCAGTTTTCAACAATTTTTTTTATAATATGCAAAGTGTCTGAACTGCAATTTATTTTAATTTATTTAAAAAACAAATACACATACGTGCATGACTTGGTATACTCCTCCAACTTCTCAATTCGTTTTTTGTGGTCTTCTATCTGTTCCACAACTTGCTTTATACTTTCCTAAACAACCATAAATAGGATGCAATTTACAAAATTAAACAATTCTAAAGCCAATTTTCTAATACTATATATCACTAAATTTTCAGAGTGGGGCACTGATGTTTAGCTATATGGCTAACCTTAACCATGAAATATCCACTGAAGTCAAGTCACAGCATACCACTTTGCATATTTAGTTGATAGATATTTCCCATGTGAATAATATACTATATCTACCAAATCTACACTATTGTTTTCAAGCCCATTAGTACAGAGATTCTTCAATGTGAATGGATCATGACACTTTCATAAATACTACTTGGTAATACCCTTTTAACATTTAGTTAAATACCAAAGTTTAGGATTTAAAACAAATGTAAAAGTTTTATAAAATCTGCTAATAGACTTGCTTTCTTTGTTTTATAAATACTTCAAATTTTAAAATCAAGTGTCTCTCTGCAGAATTTGAAACCCAACATCACAGCATTGTACTAGTGAATATGAACCAGCAAGTGAAATTACTAGTCTTTTTTCACTGTCCAAACTGAAGTACAAAAATTAAAACAAAAAGTGTCCAGTATATAGTGACAGGGAAATCAGATTTCAAATTCCTTCACTTTCATTAATCTGAATATTATAAAGTAGGTAAGGAAATGAATATTTTGTTATTTGTAACCATACCGTGTTCCATCTAGTTGTTTCAAATATTAAAAAACATGAAGCAGACATCGGCTGTAAAACTTTGTCTCTTTAAAAAAAAAAGAAGAAAATGAAAATATGTTCACCTTGTGAAACGCAGTTGTGCTGTTCTGATTAATAGCTAAGAAAATGGAGGAAAGTTATTCAAACATACCATTGCATTCTATTTATAATGGGTAAGAAAATTGTTTCAAAGCTCAGAACAATTCAGGGACACGGAGTTGCATTAGTTCCATTTTATGGTAGTAATTTTTACTGGAATTCTGTTTATGTGAAATTCCAGAAAGAACTCTAGAGTATTGCTATGTGTCTTCTTTCCCTCAAATTTTTAAATGTGGATATGGACATCTCCAAATGTTCAGATATGAGTTCATAAGAGAGAGACAGCTTCAGCTTCTTTCATTTCCTTTCATTCACTAAGTAAAGGAGACCAATCAGATTTCCAAAGAAGTGGGGATAGTGAGAAGAGAGTGCAGTATCTAAAAGTCATTTAACTCTAAAAACAGCTACATGTAAGTAACATTTCTACTTAGAGAATTGCCTCTATATATTCTCACTTGTGGAAGATTAAAAGCAGTACCCTCCCCCCTTCCCGGGCAAACACACAGTTGGAAGAGTTCTAATTTTAAAAATGACTGTTGAACTGCTCTTCTGAAAAAGGTATCTGTTGATGATTAGCAATCCAAGCAACTACTTTGGAAATCTATGCCAAGGAAACAGCGTGCACCAAAAAAGCAATGTTAGATATGAGCCCTTACACCGTCCAACCCTGGAACATGAGCAAACTGGTATGTCCACTGAGAAAGTCTAATCCATTTTGAAGTATTTTGAATATATATGAAGATTCATCTACACCTTCTCTCAATGTCAAAAGATGAAGAAGCCCACATCCAGCTGACTCTGCACTTCATAGTAGCTGATAAAACTACAAGATTTTCACAGGGAGTTGGAAAAAAAAAATACTCAAATCCCAACTGCAGCGATGTTGCCAGGGAAAGGCAAGACTTTAAAATGGGACTCTGTCCTTTCTGTCTCCAGGTATAAAGGTCACACAGAATGAACCTTGAGCAGGACACTAATCTTCTTCCGAAGAGAGAAAACAGCAAGTGCTCTGGTGCAATGTAAATATTTTATTATCACATGACACTTCTTGTTCGGATCTGTCATAAGTCAATGGTATAAGGAACCAGAAATGTTCACTTTTCTGTCTATGCAGTTGGCACAAAATCCACACGCTGGAGCTGAATTCCAAAAGCAGGCAGGAAATCAAAAAATTGTCCTGATCCCAAGAACACAAAAATCAGCCATAACAATATCCAGGTGGAAAGCGAACTACAATGGAAAAAAGGAAAAAGCTGACAAGACACACCATGATACTGCAGAGTCCAAACACTACAGTTGTCATGGTAAGAAGGAACTGAGGACAGTATGTATCTATCTCACTCTTAGCCCTGGTCTACACTACGAGTTTAGGTTGAATTTAGCAGCATTAGGTCGATTTAACCCTGCACCTGTCCACACGACTAAGCCTGTTTTGTTGACTTAAAGGGCTCTTAATCGATTTCTGTACTCCTCCCCGACGAGGGGTTTAGCGCTAAAAATCGACCTCACTGGGTCGAATTTGGGATAGTGTGGACACAATTAGATGGTATTGGCCTCTGGGAGCTATCCCAGAGTGCTCCATTGTGACGGCTCTGGACAGCACTCTCAACTCAGATGCACTGGCCAGGTAGACAGGAAAAGCCCCGGGAACTTTTGAATTTCATTTCCTGTTTGGCCAGCGTGGCGAGCTGATCAGCACAGGTGACCATGCAGTCCCAGAATCGCAAAAGAGCTTCAGCTTGGACCGTATGGGAGGTACTAGATCTGATCTCTGTATGGGGAGAAGAATCCGTGCAGGCAGAACTCCATTCCAAAAGACGAAATGCCAATATATATGCCAAAATCTCCAAGGGCATGATGGATAGAGGCTACGACAGGGACACACAGCAGTGCCGCATGAAAATTAAGGAGCCCAGGCAAGCCTACCAAAAAACAAAGGAGGCAAATGATCACTCCAGGTTAGAGCCCCATACATGCTGCTTCTATGATGAGCTGCTTGAAATTCTAGGGGGGGGCCCCTACCACTACCCCACCACTGTCCGTGGTCACATGCAAGGGGAGAGTCTCACGCAACAGGAATGAGGATTTTGTGGATGAGGAAGATGAGGAGGAGGAGGCTGAGGATCGTGCACAGCAGGCAAGCGGAGAATCCCTTCTCCCCGGCAGCCAGGAGCCATCACCCTGGAGCCAATACCCTCCCAATCCTCTCAAGGTGAGCTCCCGGACCATGAAGCCGGAGAAGGCACCTCTGGAGTGTACCTTTGTAAATATAATACAAGGTTTAAAAGCAAGCGTGTTTAATGATTAATTTGCTCTGAAGACTTGGGATGCATTTGTGGCCAGTATAGCTACTGGAAAAGTCTGTTAACGTGTCTGGGGATGGAGCGGAAATCCTCTAGGAACATCTCCATGAAGCTCTCCTGGAGGTACTCTAAAAGCCTTTGCAGAAGGTTTCTGGGGAGGGCAGCCTTATTCCATCCTCCATGGTAGGACACTTTACTACGCCAAGCCAGTAGCAAGTAGTCTGGAATCATTGCAGAACAAAGCATTGCAGCGAATGGGCCCCAGCTTTGCTGGCATTCAAGCAACATCCATTCTTTATCTCTCTGTGTTAGCCTCAGGAGAGTGATATCATTCATGGTGACCTCGTTGAAATACGGGAAATTTGTTTAAGGGGACATTCAGAGGTGCCCCGTTCCTGCTGGGCTGTTTGTTTTTGGCTGAAAAGAAATCATCCCCACTGTTAGCCATGAGGCGGGGGGAGGCCCGTTCATGCTGAGCTGTTCGCGTTTGGCTGACAGGAATCTTCCCTGATACTAGCCACGCGGTTATGGGGAGGCTACAGGCACCCAGCCACTCCACCCCAGCGGATTGCCCAAGCAATGAAGGCTAAGCATTCAAAAAGCTTTTTGCTTTTTTTTTAGAATATCAGGGTTGGAAGGAACCTAAGGAGGTCATCTAGTCCAACCCCCTGCTCAAACCAGGACCAATCTCCAGACAGATTTTTGCCCCAAATCCCTAAATGGCCTCCTCAAGGACTGAACTCACAACTCTGGGTTTAGCAGGCCAATGCTCAAACCACTGAGCTATCCCTCCCCCACAAAAAAGCCGTACAACAAGGCACTACTGGGAGTTGAACCCAGTGACCCCAGGATCTCCTGTTTACCAGACAGGTGCTTTGAACTGTAGTGTGGCCTTGTCCTTCCCTCCTCTACCACCTTCTCAGTGCTTCCCTCCTGACCCACCCCTCCCAGGCTACCTTGCGAGTGTTCCCCCTATGTGTGTGATGAATTAATAAAGAATGCATGATTTTGAAACAATAATGACTTTATTGCCTCTGAAAGCAGTGATCGAAGGTGGGAAATCTGTTGGCTTACAGGGAAGTAGAGTCAACCAAGGGGGCGGGTTTTCATCAAGGAGAAACAAAGAACTGTCACACCGTAGCCTGGCCAGTCATGAAACTAGTTTTCAAAGCTTCTCTGATGCGCAGGGCAGCCAGCTGTGCTCTTCTAATTGCCCCAGTGTCTGGCTGTGCGTAATCAGCTGCCAGACAATTTGCCTCAACTTCCCACCCCACCATAAATGTCTCCCCCTTACTCTCACAGATATTGTGGCGCACACAGCAATAACAATGGGAATATTGGTTTCGCTGAGGTCTAACCTAGTCAGTAAACTGCACCAGCAAGCTTTTAAATGTCCAAATGCACATTCTACCACCATTCTGCACTTGCTCAGCCTATAGTTGAACTGCTCCTTATTACTGTGCAGGGTGCCTGCGTATGGCTTCATGAGCCATGGGAGCAAGGGGTAGGCTGGGTCCCCAAGGATAACTATAGGTATTTCAACATCCCCAATGGTAATTTTCTGGTCTGGGAATAAGTTCCTTCCTGCGCCTGTTCAAACAGACCAGAGTTCCTGAAGATGCAAGTGTCATGCACCTTTCCCGGCCATCCCACGTTGATGTCGGTGAAACGTCCCTTGCAGCACCATTGAAAAAAAAGTACCCCTTACGGTTTACGTACTGGCTGCCAAGGTGGGCCGGTCCCAAGATAGGGATATGTGTTCTGTCTATCGCCCCACCACAGTTAGGGAACCCCATTGCAGCAAAGTCATCCACTATGACCTGCACATTTCCCAGAGTTACTACCCTTGATAGCAGCAGCTCAGTGATTGCATTGGCTACTTAGATTACAGCAGCCCCCACAGTATATTTAACCACTCCAAATGGATTCCCGACTGACCGGTAGCTGTCTGGTGTTGCAAGCTTCCACAGGGCTATCGCCACTTGCTTCTCAACTGTGAGAGCTACTCTCATCTTGGTATTCTGGCGCTTCAGGACAGGGGAAAGCAAGTCACAAAGTTCCATGAAAGTGCCCTTATGCATGCGAAAGTTTCGCAGCCACTGGGAATCATCCCAGACCTACAACACTATGCGGTCCCACCAGTCTATGCTTGTTTCCCGGGCCCAGAATCGGCATTGCACGGCAGGAAACTGTCCCATTACCACCATGATGTCCAAATTGCCAGGGCCCCGTGCTTTGAGAGAAGTCTGTGTCTATGTCCTCATCGCTATTGTGATCATGCTGTTGTCACCTCCTCGCCTGCTTTTGCAGGTTCTGCACACACTGCAGGATAATGCGCGAGGTGTATACAATGCTCACAACAGCAGTGGTGAGCTAAGCGGGCTCCATGCTTGCTGTGGTATGGCGTCTGCAGGAGAGCAGAGTTGCAGCGGAAGCGGTGGATGACGACAGTTAGCAGTCCTACTGTACCGTCTGCTGACAACAGCACCCAGGACATGACAGCAGCGGTGACGGTGAGCTGAGCGGGCTCCATGCTTGCCGTGGTATGGCGTCTGCATGGAAAAAAGGCGCGAAACAATTGTCTGCCATTGCTTTCACGAAGGAAGGGGCGACTGATGACATGTACCCAAAACCATCCACGACAATGTTTTTGCCTCATCAGGCATTGGGGGCTTAACCCAGAATTCCAATGGGCAGCGGAGACTGCGGGAACTGTGGGATAGCTTCCCACAGTGCACCGCTCCATAAGTCGATGCTAGCCACGGTAGTGAGGACACACTCTGTCGACTTAATGCACTTAGTGGGGACATACACAATTGACTGTATAAAATCGATTTCTATAAAATTGACCTAATTTCGTAGTGTAGACATACCCTTATAATTGCTGATCTGGATGTTTATACTGTAAGCAGGCTTTCACTAAGCCACATCCTAGAAGAGATATGTAAAGTTATTTTTGAAGGACAAAGAGCCAGCCATGTGGCAGTAGGTCTGTCAGAAGAGAAGCCCAAACATATGCATTGTATCAAGGTTGAAGTGTTTTTTGATAAAGAATGTATTCTGTACAATTATACTAAAATTTATAATGACAGGGAAGGACAAGTATTAGACAAAGAGAGACAGGGTTTCTTTTCCCCAATAAAATTAAATTCCATCTCAGTACCTCAATTTCTTTTTGCTTCCTCTCATCAAATGTCATCCTTTCTAGATCTGCTTTTTGTTCCCACTGCAGTTTTTCTAGTTGCTGGGTCAATGTAGCTACTTTCTTTCTTGCTAGTTCTTTTAGCTCTTTATACCGATCCAGCTGTACAAACAGATTCAAATATTACTCCTGCCCTTAAACATAAAGGGAAATTTTCACTGCATTATGTACTTAACTAGCAAATTAACAACCTTATCAAAACTACAGATTGTAAGTTACTATCCAGTTATGGCGCCAAGTATTGGCAATCAGATGCCATGAAAGATACAATTTCGAAACTTTATTCTCCTGGTTTTTTGCCTACAGTCTAGTTTAGAGTTTTGTTTTAAATAAGTGATTAGGCGAACTAAAGGTTCCATAAACATTTCTGAAAAAAGGCGAGGCTCAAGACATTATCTAGATGCTGAGTGGCCCAAAAATAAAGGAATTATTCTTAAGAACAACAGTTATTTTGACATGTGGGAAGCCTCCAAGGAGAAAATTTGTAGAGGTATACAGAAGGATTTATGTTTGGGGCAACCCTATAAATTATGCTGAAGGTTGACAAATCTCTACAGTAATGAGGAGTTGGAACTCCTCCACTCTCTCCTACTGGGCATAATTTACAGGGTTGCCCCAAACTACACAGGGATAATAGGAAGGAAACATACCCATCAGGTTATGCAGAATTTAATATACAATAAAATAAACTGAAAGAGTTTCTAGGTCTAGTGGTTGCAGAAATAGTTTTCCCGATGTGAACTAACTGGAAAATTATGCAGGGATGTCTTCCTAAAACAGCTTTATATCAGAACTGTGAACTGATCTTATCTGTAGCAGTTGGGCTGCGTGCTGGGAAGTTGTTTTGGTAAAGACCTCCTTCCTTACACCACCTCATAGCCCCTTGACAGCAAAAGAGCTGCTCCATGGTTACTATCCTATCCTCACATGTACTGTTTGTGCTCCCAGTAAAAACCAATGGATCCATGATGCTGTGGACCCACAGCCCCAGTTCACAAGGAACCCCATGGAGATTGGGTTTAAAACAGACAGGTGCTGAACATGCCTTGACTAGGCTCTCCTAAATCCTCCTCTCACTATTGTGCACTGGAACGTCACTGATTCGACTAGAAGAGAGAGTCTTTCATTATTACTTTGGAAAGGATATGATTCACACATTAAAGAGAAGTAATACACCACCTCCAACCATCTTAAAAAGGTTAACTTTGAAACCCCCCTGTCTTAAGTTTACTCCTCAAAACTGCTCTCTTTCTCTTGAACTTCTGGGAGGCTTGAATTGTCCTCCTTAAATCATTTCATCAGTTCTATAAAAAAAAATTTAATCCATCCCAGCTGTTTGCTGGTTAAAAAACTATATTAAGCTCAGGCACATGTAGTTGGCAGAGCTATTTTACATACAGCACAAGGAGCCTCAAAAACATTAAAGAAAAATCTTGTTATGTTAAGCCACCACAGTAGAGCCTCATTTTGTCCTTCTAGGAAGGAGGCCCAATCATGGTGTTGCTAATCATATTCTGGGCTAACTGTGACCACTTAGCAAACAGCAGCTGCTCAAACTGTAAGCTAAAAATAAATCGATGGGATGTTACAGGTATCAGATGTTTTTATGTACAAATTGACATAGATTTTAAGTCTGTTGGCTTCCAGGATAAACCTGTAAGAGATGAAAAATAAAGGCAATATCACCATTTCTCCTCATCCTATTGGACAAATAGCTCTTTTTCCTTGCAATTTAGTCTAAGTCAAATTGGATTTGTAACCACTCTTTGAAAACAATGGGTGAAATCATGACCCCACTGAAGTCAATGGCAAACTCCCATTAGCTTTAACAGAGCCAGGATTTCACTCACTTTAGTACTTCCCCCCTACAACAACTCACTTGACTTGCTTCCAGCTCAACATCTGCTCTTCTCTGTAACATCTCCTCTTCAACCTTCTTTTCATATGCTCTCCAACTTCTCTCAACATCAGTCAGCTCGGTATCCAATTCTTTTATGTTTTGCTCTTGTTTAGCAAGGTGTTTCTCATTATCTTTTAAGGATTTCTTAGCCAGATCTACTTTCTTGATTTGGTGAGAAGTGTTCTCCTTTGCTTTAATATACTGAGGCCTTTTCTGATTCAATGACGCTTCTAGGGTTCTTTAGGGAGGGAAAAAAAGATGCATTTTTGTCAACTTTGTGTTTCAGGGAAACAAGAAATGCAGCCTGGAACAAGATAATTTAATTTAAAAAATACATAAAATCACCTTTTAGGTGGGGACCAAGTATGAGATGTTTCAGTCCAAAGGTTATATTTTGATACATATAACCGAAAATAGAGGTTTAAACATGAAGTACAATGCTATACCACACCTACAATGTTGTAGTGAACAGGTATAATGTTTTATTGACAATAGTGACAAATGAAGTGGCTGAAAATTATTATATATATTTATTCTGTAACACAGTGATTATTATTTTAGAAATCTCCCATTGACTTCAATGGGGTCAGAATTTCACCCACTCTCTTGATCAGGAAATACATTTTGAAGAGTAACTTAGAATGCAGACTAACTCTCAAAATCTCAGTTCAGTTCTATCATAGGAAAACTTACTTCATTTCTTTTTCCATGTGTTGTTGGTCTCTATTTAACATTCCAAGCACTTTTTTCTTAGCTTTAAATGTGTCTTCAGCAGAAGAAAGGGAGTCTTCCTTGGTATTCACATCCATATTCTTTTCATCCAATTTGTTGTTTAAAAAGTCAATTTTTTTCTCATTGTGATAAAGTCGGAAAAGTTGCAGCTGTATCCTGTTTTCTTTCAGCTCTTCAAGCAGCATCTGGTAACGCTCTGCCTACAAACAGCAAATTTTTATTTGCAGTTTAAAAAAGAATTTTTAATCACTAGCAGTCTAATCTCAGGTCCAGAGTAAAATGAGCTAAAGTACTGGTGACTATGATTCCAGCAAAGTGCGCCAATCACAAAAAACTCAGCCATATAATGCAGTAGTTACTGTAAGAATTGCCAGTCCTGCAGAATACATTGTCATTTATTTCATTAAAACATATTTATGACTACTGAACCTAGTATACTTAGAAACTATTATATTCAGCTCCATTTCCTGTTGAATATTATGAATGCCACCCAACAGTAAATCATAACTGCTTTTTTTCTCTCTTGCATGCACTCAGGCAACAAACTTTGCAATACAGGGTCACTGAACACTCCAGGGAAAAGAAGAATGTAGACGTTTAGCTTGGTTTCAATAAGTTTCACACCTCCAGAACAAAGCTCACTATCATAGTTTGGCAAGTTGCAGGATTGAGCCTTCTGAGACCAAGTATTTTTGGATGCAAAAGTTTATTCTTCCATTTTTAAACATTTTGCCCAGTAAGTGCCACTACTGCATCACATAGTGACTGTACAAAAAGGGCAGAAATACAGAAATGACGTACTACCGATGTACATTGCCAGGAGATGCTTAACTATTAATCCTGTCCCACAGGAAAACGTAGCATCTTCCTTGCTGATTTTTTTTTGGGGTTAAGTATTTCAGATTATACAAATTAATCACATTATGTGGAAAAGCTTTTACCAAAAAACACTTTTGAAGAACCACCACTTTCCACAGAAAACAAGGAAAATGTATTTATTTTAAATGTATTAGAAGTGTTTGACCCAAGCTCTATGTACTTTTACTAAGGTTCTGATCCTATAAACTCACACTATGCTAATAGAGTTTGCAGGATCAACCACTATGCCATATGCTTTCTTAAATATGAAAACCTCCTTTGTTATTTTTGGAATTACCTCCTCTTTCTCTAACTTTGCATGCTTGCGTTCTACTGCCACATGTTTTTTCTTGTTATAATTAAACTGTGCATCCCCCTCTGCCTGTTGCATTTTCTTCTTCTTTCTCTCATATTCCTCAGCAAACTCCCATGAATTACTAATCTGTTCAAAAAGCTGGGTTCTCTCCTTGGGCTTCTTCATTGCAATTGACTCTACTGCTCCCTAGAATAGAGTTTCAAAGATGTAGCACTGAGAATCATAGCACTGCAGATAACTGTACTGTACAAAGAGGGAATCTGAAATTCCCAGCAATAATTCAGTTTCTTAAAATCAAGGTATAACTTATATGATATTTCACTAGCTTCAATAACCTCCCAATCACAGAGACTTAAAAGTCCACTGAACCTAATTTGGACACTGACACGCCATATATGAAAAAGCGAAAGTTGTGGAATCATGTAGTACTGGCAGCAAAAAGTCAATCAGAAATTACAAAACAAACCTCACTATTCAAGAATATATAATTTACATAATTCATCCAAATTTTTTTCTATACTAAAGATTAAAATTTGGGAAACAAAGACTCCAGTCAGGAAGTGTTATCACTACTACAAAGTACAGTGTTATATTTATCCTAACATCCATTATGTTATGGGACTGGAGGAAGCTTTTCAAATGAAAAATTTCTAAGAGTTTATGAAATGTAGATTCAGTTCCTTCCCTATTTTGATAATTTTTTTAAAGCAGACAAGTTAGTGGAGCTTGAAAATTAAGTACTGTATATATTTATTCTGTAACTGTGATATTACTATTTTTGATATGCATTATCTATATTTAAAGGAAAGCTAAATTAGAAGAAGAGATTTTTAACCACGATATCTAATTAGAAGGAATATAAAACTAAAAATACTTAACTGCCAAATACAGTTTAATTTTTTTGCAAACAGGAAGCTAGTATTTTAACAGACTTGTGAGGCAGATCAGGACTAAGAATTCAAATCCCATTATCAACCACTGAAAGTCAGTTTCAGTTGTTTTAAGATAATATGCTTTTTAAAAATTGTTTGGGAGTTAAATTAACATCTGGTTAAACTAAACGGATTGGAGGACTCAATAACAGACTATTAACAATGGGACATAGCCTTTCATCTGCATGTCACTAATTCAATTCCACTATAGTTCCCTATTTACCAAGAGTGGTTACTCACAGATGGTTCCATAGTCTAATTGATTTTACTTTATTTCTCAGTGGATATACACTTCCAACTCACAAAAACCACACTATCACCATTAGCATCCTTACTGGTAGTCTCAATAGACAGCCCAATAACTGAACAGATAAGAAAAAATGAACGCTGACCTTGGAAGTGGTTCTTCAGAGGAGTATTTGGGCTCATTAATAGACCAATGTGGCGAAGGTGATATTGTGAGGCACCTTCTTCATAAATAAAAAGATTTTGGTCTCTAGTGATGTCAAATAAGTGGCTGTGACCCAGGGACCTCTTGGTGACAACTGGCAGAGTTCACAGGGTTTTACAGGGATCCCCTGGGTTGGATATATGCATAATAGTTCACTGAAGTATGGCATGTTAGGTCTCTACCAAGAGCCAGTAGCCCACTGGTTATCATACTCACTGCAAAATGTATGTACAGATAATATTTAAGGAGTTATGCTTTTAATCTAAAAATTACCGTATATACTCGTTCATAAGCCAAATTTTTTTAGTAAAAAAGGGAAGCACCAGAGACGGGGTGGGGGGGGTGAGAAATCAGCTTATGAACGAGTATAGAGCGGGAAAGGTGGGACACAGCCCCTCCCCCCAATAGAGGGAGCAAGGAGAGGCAGCACAGCTAGAAGGGAAAAGGCGGGGCCAGAGTCTCTCCGCTTCTAGCCACGCTGCTCTCCCCCCAGCCTCTGAAGCAGCTCCAGGGTTGGCAGGCTGCAGCTGTGCCACTCGGCCCCGCCTAGGGTGACCAGATGTCCCGATTTTATAGGGACAATCCTGATTTTGGGGTCTTTTTCTTATATAGACTCCTATTACCCCCATCCCCTGTCCCGATTTTTCACACTTGCTGTCTGGTCACCCTAGCCCCGCCCCCCAGAGCAGGCTGTGGCCGCGCCGCCGGAGCACTCTGTGGCCATGCCACAGCTATGCCGCTCGGTCTGGCCTGCCAGCGCAGGATGCAGCCACGCTGCCCAGCCTGCCAGAGCAGTTCCAGCCAGGCCAGAGACATCCTCCCCTGGCCCTCCCCAAATAAGGTGGGAAAGGATGGGATAGGGAGAGTGTGGGGGTCCCCGGCTAGGGGTGGGGTCATGTGGGGGGTGGTCACAAGGGTTATTCCCCTGACCCCCAGCTTCCCCCCCACCCCCCCCCAGAAAAAAACATTTCCCCACCAGTTGCTGTCCCGGCCCGTCAGGATAAAGCAGCTGGAGCACCAGGACACTTTGTTTACTTAGGTTTACCTCCGTGCCTGCGGACACTTGAGGTAAACAAACCATCTCGGCCCACTAGTGGTTTATCCTGATGGCCCGGGAGCCAAAGTTTGCTGACCCCTGAATTATAGGGTCGGCTTATGAATGGGTCATAAAAATTTCCCATTTTTACTTATCCATCTTGGGGGGCGGGGGGGTCAGCTTATAAACGAACCGGTTTATGATCAAGTATATATGACATGTTCTTAAGGTCTTGGAGTTAAGACAAGTCACCAGAAGGTGACATACCTCAGAAATGTTCCTTTCGGACAAAAGGCAGCAGACACCTGTTTCCTTGTCTAGCCATTTTTGTATTGTATGCCTCATAATGTATGCCTTTTTGCATACTGAGCCACAGGCAAAAGAAGTGAGTGTGAAATCTACAGAAAGGAAATTCACAGGATGAAAGAAACTGAAGGGGATGGCCTGCTTACTACTAAAGACAAAGGACTCTTAGGATATATCTGGGGATATAAGGAAACACACAGGATCCTTCACCCAGGAGGCAAGCTGACAGCACGACTCTCTCTTGAAAGGAGGGTCACAGCTCCTTGGTTGTAAAATGCTGCAAGGATTTTGCATGAGCAAAGCAATACTCTAACAAAATACTCTCACGTCTTATAATTAAGCCTACACTCTAGAAAGTGTGTTTTGATTTTGTTGTATAAATGTAATGATTTGTTTCCAATACTTCTACTTGCTATTATTAGAATCTCTATGCTTTGTTAAATTTATTTATAGTGAAGTCAAGTATAAGTGCTGTCTGTTAAGAGGAGTGGTAATCGGAGGTAGAACTGGTAAGCAGGAGTGCCCTGTTTCTTTGGAAGCAGCAAACCTGTGAATACTGTGAGCACCCAGTGGACTGGACCTGGACACTCCAGGGAGATGCTCAGAGGGCTTGAGAGTTGGATGATGCCTATTGCCACCCTGCAGAGAAACAATGGGTCTTGCAAGCCCTAGAGGGGAGTGCCTGCATTGTTCATGGCTGGTAGAGTTGGGAGGCTGACCCCTAGCAGGCAAAGACAAGGCTTCCTCCTGCTTAAGGACAGGTGGTAGCCAGATGACTGACAATATACCAGAAGGCATCACAATGGCACCTTTCAAAAGCAGTAAGTTCACATTTTAAGAAGGTTAATACATACTAGACAGGACAAAGAACTTTGGAAAATATATTTAAGGAAAAAACGTGCTTGTCAAAGAGGAACTAGATGTCCTAACAAGATTTTCCATCCACATATTTATGAGTATTATAAGTTGAGACAAGAATAATTTTGGCTCCAGAAATAAGGTGGTTAGCCAATTTTAGGTTTGTTTGTTTTTTTAAATCCAAAACAAGACGACCTTTTTCAACTTATAAACTGAAGCACAGAAATTACTGGGTTTCCCATGATGAATAATGCTTCCCCCTACCTCCCTTCCACACCCTCTATTGCCCAACACACAGAGAAACCTTGCAATTCCCATTTTATGGCCTAGACTTCCTAGGCTAGGACAAGGCTGCTATTATTCATGCGGGACTAATTACCTGTTTGGCTGACCAGGGTGCAGTATTAACTGTCTAGTCCCAGCACTCCCAATCTGCACTCAAGCTTTGGGAGGTTACCAAGTACCTTAAATGCTTACCTGAAAAACCATGCAGTTCCTTGCTTTGACAATTATGCCTATTTTTTCAAGCTCTGCTGTGTAAACAGATCGGCTAACAGCTTTATCATTGAAAAGAAACTCAGAACAACTACCTAATAAAGGAAGAAACAATAAAATTAAAGTATCATGTAACCAAATATTTGAACTATTAATTTATGTTGTGCATTTGACACTTTATCTAATCAGTTCACCTGTTCCCCCTTTTGTACATCAAGAAGGTCTACACGTCTTTGGAGGTCCAGAAGGAGGTGAGTGACAAACCATGGGAAAGTCTCTGGGTGAAGATAAAAGACAGGGGCGGAGGGAAAACAAGGTTGATATCGGGGTAAGGGTCTGCGATAGACAACCAAAACAGGAGGAAGTGGTGGATAAGGCATTTCTATGACAAATATTTCTAGAACAGAAATATCCAAAACATAAGACCTGTTAGTAATGGTGGATTTTAACTACCCAGATATCTGGTGGAAAAGTAATATGACAAAACACAAAATGTCCAATACGTTCTTGGAATGTGTTGGGGAGAACTTTTTGTTTCCGGAGGTAGAGGAGAACAGCAGTCATTTTAGGCTTGATACTGACTAACAAGGAGGAATTGGTTGCAAATCCAAAAGTGAAAGAGAACTGACAGTAATCATAAAATGATACATTTCATGATTTGAAAGAAAGGAAAAAGTGAGGGCAGCAGAATAAGGAAGAGAGACTTAAAAAAAAGCAGACTTTAACAAACTGGTAGGTAAGGTTCCATGGGAAGAAATGATAAGGGAAAAAGGAGTTCAGGAGAGCTGGCAGCTTCTCAAGGAGATAATATTAAAGGCACAACAGCAAGCTATCCCAATGGGAAAGGAAGACAGGAAGAACAATAAGAGGCCAAATGGGCTGCATCAGGAGCTCTTAAATGACCTGAAAAATCAAAAAGAAATCCTACAAAAAGAGGAAACATGAATAAATTGCTAAGAATGAGTACAGAAGACTAGTACAAGCATGTAGGCACAAAATGAGAAAGGCTACAACACAAAATGACTTACACCTAGCAAAGCACATAAAAAGGCAGTAAGAAGTTCTAAATAGACACAGCGGGGAAAGAGAGCTACTAACTGACTACCCCACAATGCAGGTAGCTAATGCCTGTTTTACTTCAGTCTACACTAAGAAGGTTAATTGTCATTGGATGCTTAACACGATTAAATAACAAAATGGAAGGAATGCAAGCCAGAACAGGGAAAGAACAAATTAAATATTTAGCTAAATTAGATGTATTCAAGTTGTTAGGGCCTGACAAAGTTCACCCTAGGGTACTTAAAGAACTAGCTGAAGCAATCACAGAACCATTAGAGATTATCTTTGAGTTACTAGCCAAGTGACTAGGAGGGGAGGAAGCAGTAAACATGATACATCTTGATTTCAATAAAGTTTTTGACACTGTCCCACTTGACAGTCTCATAAGCAAACCAGGAGAAAGTGGTCTATAAGAAATTGCTATAAAATGGGTGCACAACTGGTTGAAAAACCATACTCAAAGAGTATCAATGGTTCACTATCAAACTGGGAGGTTTGATCTAATGGAGTCCTGCGGGGGTCTGTTCTGGTAATATTCAATATTTTTATTCATTAGTTGGATTAATGGAGTGAAGAGTATGCTTATAAAATTTGCTGATGACACCAAGTTGGGAAGCGTTGAAAGCACTTTGGAGGACAGAATTAGAATCCAAAGTGACCATGACAAATCAAAGTATTAGTCTGAAACCAACAAGATGAAATTCAATAAAAGACAAATGCAAACTTAATTTAGGAAGGAAAATAATTAAATGGACCCTACAAAATGGGGAATAACTGGCTAGGTAGGACTACTGCTGAAAGGGGGTTATAGTTGGTCACAAAGTAAATATGAGTCAATGTGATGCAGTTGCAAAAAAAGGCTAATATCATTCTGTGGTGTATTAATATGAGTGTTGTACATAAGACAAGGGAGGTAACTGTTCCAGTCTACTCAGAATTGGTGAGGCCCTCAGCTGGAATACTGTGTCCAGTTTTACTTAAGGAAAAATATGGACAAACTGGAGAGAGTTCAGAGAATAATAATAAAAAAAAAGATCAACACTTTAGAAAACCTGAATTATGAGAAAAGAGTTAAAAATACTTGGCATGTTTAGTCTTAAGAAAAGATGACTAAAGGGGAACAGGATAACAGTCTCTAAATATTTTGAGGGCTGTTCTAAAGAGAACAGCAATCAACTGCCCATGTCCACTGAAAGAAGGACAACTAGTAGTTATCTTAATCTATAGCAAGGGAGTTTACATTAGATATTATGAAAGACTTTAACTATCAAGCCAACAAAGTATTGGAACAGGTTACCAAGAGAAGTTGTGGAATCCCCATCATTGGAAGCTTTTAAGAACAGCTTAGACATGGTCTAGGTAACCCTGCTTCAAAACGGAGGGTGGACTAGATGACCTCTCAAGGTCCCTTCTAGCCCTACATTTCTGTGATTCTATGATCTCCAGAATGCAACCATTATTCTCTAATGTGGACATTACAGCATTTGCCACTCCTGTTAATACCAATCTTGACTACCATAACATACTCAGGACTACCCCTGAAGTTCACCCGGGCACTGGAGCTAGAGCAGAATGCAGCTGCTCTCCTCCTGAGTAGCGTGGGGTAGTTGCATCTCCTTTGCTCAGGTCTCTGCACTGGCTTCCTTTTCTTTTCCATGTGGAATTCGAGGTGTTAACCTTTAAAGACTGGAATGATCAGTGACCATTAGATACAGCTACCAATCCTATACCTCACCTAAAAGTAATTAGGATTAGCCTTGGGAGTGCTTCCAATGTTGTAAACCATGGCCCAGATCCTCAAAGGTATCTAGGCACCTAACTCCCATCAATTTCAATGGAAGTCAGGAGCCTAAATACATAGAGAATCAGGGCTTGGGTCCATAACATGGCTTTCACAGTAGACTGCCCCATGGAACTCACTTCCTTTGATAAACTCTCAGAGACACAGTTGGGCAATCATTAGGGCGGGGAGCATAACATGTATTTTGTTTAGCATCTGATTAACTCTTCTACTCTATTACTGTTTTCATCCTTATAATTATAGCACCTGGCTATCATGACCAGTACTATAAAAATTGGCTTAATAATTCCAAAGGATTCACTAGTCCGTGTTGTACCATCAGATTATTATATATTTAAGATTTAAAAATAAATAGTCCACTGCAAGTTTTCTATATCAAGCACAGAAAATATTTGAAAAAAAAAACAAACCCTACTATTACCTCGAATAATTCTTGAAAATGTTTTCTCTTCTCCATTCTCTTCACAATACACTATTTTCACACTTGCAGTAGAGGAAAATGGCTTTCCAATGTGTGCTCCATGAATAAGTTCTTGAACACTTTTTACTCTTAAATTTGCTGTTCTTTCACCCATTACAAAACTAAGGGCATCCATTATGTTTGATTTTCCTTTAAAATGAGCAAAAAAACATTAACTTTTGATTTTTTTAGAGTTGGATAGGTATGAACATACTTAGCTGACTACTTATTTCTAATCTTTTATTTCGATCTCAGTTTTGTTGTCTTCCAGAACCTATGTATGCATTTAAGAAACGTCTATTTAAAATAAAATTGTAGAAGAGGTTTACATGTTTGAAAGTAATTTATAACCAACAGCTGGTATCAATGTCTGCAACAGATTAATTATTATAAAAGTGTTTCACCACTGAATTCCATACTTAGTTTATGACATATCCAGGTCTACATCCTTTATCTAAGCATCTCTAATTTCCCCCCCTTTACTTCAGTTTGCTTGACATCATCAGTTGCTTCCTACATACTACAGTCATTGACAGTGTTACCAAAATATTCCATAATGCATTTAGAACTCTTTCCTAGGCCTGGTCCACACTAAGCCCCCAGTTCAAACTAAGATACGCAACTTCAGCTACGTGAATAACGTAGCTGAAGTCGAAGTATCTTAGTTGGAACTCAAAGGTACTTACTGCGGGTCCACATGCGGCAGGCAGGCTCCCCCGTCGACTCCGCCTACTCCTCTCGCAGAGCAGGATTACCGGCGTCAACAGCGAGCACTTCCGGGATCGATTTATTGCGTCTAAACAAGACGCGATAAATCGATCCCAGAAGATCGATTGCTGGCCGCCGAACCAGTGAGTAAGTATAGCTGTACCCTTACAGATTCTTGAATTCCAAAGAATGTCTTTTTCATATTTCCTTACACTGTTATGAATATTTTTTCTGCTAATATTTCTAATACTTAGTACATTATCTTTCCACCAACCTTTTCTCCACTCACTCTTTCTCTTATCTGTCATTTCTGATAGCACCCTCATTTTTCTGGTCTCCCAGAATCACTACTTCAACATTACACTGTATCTTCCTCTCTTGCCCTCCTCCCGCCTCCAAAATAACAGAAGAGGGGAAAAAATAAGAACATTCTTGAACTGAATGTTGGGGATTACTCAGCATCAGAGTTTCTTCTGGCTACTGATTCATGTAACTTATGCTGATTTAACTGGATGAGTATCTGAAAAACTTCATTCAGTATTCTGAACATTAGAAACAGTGGGAGACAGGGTAGGAGTGATCCACTAACAGACAAAAATTAAGTTAAATTAAAGCAATGAAAAATATAAAATCCTAGGCCCCTGCGGTAACCACTGGACAACTCTCCCCCTCCTTGGATAAGCTTGGTTATAGCGTCTACTGCTTTTTCTACACACGTTTATGAAAAAAAATCTCCCATTGTTGAGCTGTGGTAGGGGATGCAAAATAACACCTGGCCATGTTTTTACTGTCATTTTAGTTAAACTTGCTCCAAACGTGATCAAAACAAGAATAGATCCAGCCATCTGGGCTTGGTCTGTGCTGTGTTTCCCAACAGCGCCAACTGGAGAGGGTTTATAAAGCCATGTCTACATTGCATTGTCTACATTATTAATTATTATTATTAATAGGGAAATGTACACCACTGTAAGTAAGGTTTTTTGTTTTGAGTAGAAAAAGTAGTAGAGTTCAAGCTGGGTTCATTGATAACTACCTTAGGCTTTGTCTTCACAGCTTTGAAAGGTTTTGTTTTGTTTTCCCCCCAATGAGATGACCGAGCACGATCATTATCTTGCGGTAAAACCCCCAGTGGAGACAAGGCCCTTGTTGTGTTTGCCCTGAGGTAGCAGGGCGAGATCAGCACCCCAAGCCCAGACTGACCCCACCACTTAGTCTAGGGTCTGGTAAAGCCTTGCCTGCACTAGGATTTGACAGCAGGAGAGCTTGCACATGTTAGTCACCCCAAGGTAAACACACACCTGTCATCAGTGAAGACGAGGCCCTGACTTGGCCCTTTCTTCTAGAGGGGAGGCACCCTGGGCCGCCTGACACCACCACGCAGCCAGACCAGGCCTACTTTACGTATGTCTACATAGCAAGCGGCAGGAGGTGTGAACCCAGTTTGATGAACTCCAGCTTGTGGAGCTCAGGCTACGTTGCTAAAACCAGCTGGGTAGACACTGGGGCTGGGCCTCTTTAGCGCATCCCTGACTTCAGACCCCAAGTGCTGTGTCCACACTGGGGTTTGCGACGCTGCGGTTACACCAGGGCCAGCGGGGTAGTTGGCATTCTGTCGGTGGGATCAGGGCAGCTGCAGCCACCACCCCCTCGGGTCTGGGCAGGAGGCGAGTCGCTATCCCCTAGGTGGGGTAGCTGTCCGACCCTCAGGCTGGGCCCAGCCCGGCAAAGCCCTAGTGCCCCGTGAGCTGTGGCCTGCCCTGCCCTGCTGCCCTACCTGATCCGTTGGGGCCAATGATGCAGTTGAATCTCATGAAAGGGCCGATGCTCTGCCGCCCCCGCCATGACTTGAAGTTCTCCAGCAGCAGCAGCTTCAGAAAACCCATCCCCGCGGGGAGGGGCGAGCCGGGACCCCAGAGAGGTCGACGGCCGTTAATGTCTGAAACTCCCCTCCCCTGAGAAGTTGGGTTATGTGGGAGAGTGCGCGCGCGCAGGGGGTGGGCAGGTGTCACGCGCCCCTTCCGCGCCGCGCGCCTCCCTCAGGCAACCTGCGGCTTCACAAAAGCGGGAGCGCAGCGCGAGACACCGAGGCGAAGCCGCCTCGTGCTAGTCCTCGCGGGAAAGGACGGCTTGTCTCGCGAGATTTCTGAGGGGAGCCGGGACCAGGGAGGAGGAGCCAAGCGGGGGCGGGACCTGACCGCGGAAATCAGGGGGGAGGGCTCGTTCCCTTAGCAACCCGCTCTGTTGACATCGCCCGGCGGTAGCCTGGGGCGGGGAATAAGGGCCCCGGGAGATCGTCGTTGTTCGGCCTTGGTGGGACCTCGCCCCCCGCGGGCACCATGCGCAAGCTGGGCCTGCAGCGGGACCTGGCCGAGGCGGCTGCGCTGGAGCGGAGGCGGCAGCGCGAGCTGCACAGGCAGAGCCGCATCTTCAACGCCCGAGTCAGGACCATCGGGGTAAGCGGGCGGCGGGGCCGGCCAGCGGGAGGCGCCTTCCAGGGGAGCGGGGCGGGGGCTGCCGCCTCGTGGCACTATCTAGGGGCGGACTGCCCCCCCCCCACGGGACTGTTGGGTGCCGACTTGTATGGGGACCGATTAAATTAATGATCATGCATCGGGACCACAAGTACCTGGAAACGTAGCTTCGTCCAGGGACCAGTAATACCCAGGAGTGACAGTGTTGCGGTTTTTGTCCTGGGGGCTGAAAGCACTTTACAAAGGTGAGTGTCTTTATCCCCAGTAATAGACGGGGAAGCACCGAGCCATGCTGGGTGGGCTCATATTTAGAAGGCACACACTCCAATTTAGTTAGCCTCTCAACATTTCCAGTGTTGGAAGATTACCTCTGCAGTTCTTACATGTGTAGCCCATCCTGTTTCCATTGAAACCAAGGACAAAACTTTCTTTAGTGGAAACCGAATCAGCCCCTGTGTGGGTATATATTTAGGTTGCGTTTACACTACTCATACCACTTGCGGTGGCTTGTAGGGTGTATGTAGCTACACGCCACAGTGACAAGCAGGCAGAGTCCACACTGCGGTGTGTAGCTGCTTAGCTACTCATGTCAGTGAAAGGCTGTACAGCAGGGGTGAGGTAATGGGGAGCTGCTGGTGCCTTTCCCTATGGCAAACATACCTTTATATCTATAGGGCTTGATTGCCCACTACCTTGAACCTTAAGTCAAGGGTGGCCAACCTGATCCTGAGAAGGAGCCAGAATTTACCAACGTACATTGCCAAGGAGCCACAGTAATACATCAGCAGCCTCCCGTCAGCTCCCTCTCCCCACTCCCAGTGCCTCTCGCCCACTGGCAGCCTCCCCGATCAGCACCTCTCCACACCTCCCGATCAGCTGTTTTGTGGCATGCAGGAGGCTCTGGGTGGGAGGGAGAGGAGCGAGGGCATTGCAAGCTCCAGGGACAGGGTGGGAAGGGGTGTAGTGGGGGCAGGGCCTGTGGCAGAGCCAGGGGTTGAGCAGTGACATTGGAAAGTTGGCACCTGTAGCTCCAGCCCCAGAGTCAATGTCTATACAAGGAGCCACATATTAACTTCTGAAGAGCTACAGGTTGGCCACCCCTGCCTTAAGTAGTCATTTACACTAGTGCAGAGCAAGTGGAAGGTGGACTTAAGACACTACCAAATCAGAATGATAGCAACACTGCTGTAAATAACTGCACAAGGTACTGACAACTGAGAATCAGACCCATTATGTGTCTGTCTCTTCCAGTTATTTCATGGTCTGTGACACGTTTTTCACAGCCGTTAAGGAACATTAGAATATATAACCTTCCTTCAGTGTTATTAATGTATTAACAACTTTTTATTAGTATCACATAAAACTAGATTCAGAATTGGTGAAATCGGGTTCAGTCCATTGACTTCAGTGGATTCGACCTGTTTATGACTGGTCTGAATTTGATCCATAGAGTGTTAGGGTTGAATTTTTTTACTATCAATGAGTCATTGGAAGGATAATTTCACTTAGATTTTCAATAAATCCTTGGATTTATGCCTGGGGCCTTTATGCCACAGACACCTTAGTTACGAGGACTTGTGGCACCTTAGAGACTAACAAATTTATTAGAGCATAAGCTTTCGTGGACTACAG